TCAGAATATGGCAATCTAGGAACATTCAAGCTATTGATATAATTCTAAGTGTTGTAGTAATTGAACCAGCAGGATGGGAAGTTTATCACCATCATCCATGCTCCAGTCAGAAACACCTGACTTTCTATAGTATCATATGTCCTGTGACACAACCTGTGAATCTGACTCACCACATCTCTCCAAGAAGCATGGAAATGTCCATGACCAGAAGCCGCTGAGTAGTGGTCATGACAGAGAAAGATTGACATTTCAGGGATTCAATTTGTGTACCACTTTCCTACCTTTCAGTTTGCTTACCTATTTAGTCTTTTGAGGGCATACATGAAAAAATATATAAATGTTTAACTATGTGATTTGTGTGATTTCTTGAGTGCATACTGCCACTCAGAAAGAGGTGTTTATGTAGCTAAAACCAAAATTGAAAGCTGATGTTCAACTGAGAGCATATCCTATAATTCCCATTCTGTATGTGGCCACAGAGAATAATGGAAAAAGACAAGAACACCCCAGACTGTGGTGTCAGAGGTCATGGAAAACAAAGGAATAGAAAAAGAAGCCTCTCCCAGAAAGCAGTGTAAGGCCATCATCAAAGAATGCTCCTAGCCCCCAGCATAGGAGGTCTTCACCAAAACTACTCTATACGATTGTAGGGTTGCTGGGCTCAGTGACACTCAGGTATCTTCCATCCTTCCCTTTCTGAATGAGGTGCTTACTGCAGTAAATCTGTCCCCTGACTAATACTGTATATTGGATACTGTTATAGCTTATATCTAGATGTCCTCCCAAATCCTCATGCACTCATAGGTGGGGCTTTTGGGAGTGAGTGAATCATGAGTGTGTGATACTTGATTATGGGTGTGTGATACTGGATTAGCCCACTGATTAGTTTAGCGGACTTCTGGGTATGGATGATGGATTTATTATAAAGAGGGAAGATCCACCTTGGGTGTGGGTGGCACCAACAAATACACATGTAGCCTGGATGGATTAAATGCAAAAGCAAGAGGAAGTTTTGCTGCTTCCTACCTACCTTGCTAAGCTCTTTTTCCTCTGCCATGTCCCTCTGCCATGCTGCCTTGCCTTTGAGCCAGCCTGTGGACTAAAACTTCTACAAAATGTGAGCCCAAATAAATTCTTCTTTAACTTCTGAATGTGGGGTATTTTGCTCCAGCAAAGAAAAAGTAATTGATGCAGAAATATAAAGTGAAGTGATTATAGATAACTTGTATTTTTAGTTATAGATCTCCAGAACAAGAGGTTCCATATCTGGATATGGTAGCAATAAGACAACTGCATAAATTCTAGAGGTCTGGAGCACAGGAACAGATATAGTGGCTGAAGAAATATTTGGAGATGGGTTGAGTGTGTTTTGTCTGTGGTAAGGAGGAAGTTAAGGGCATCCTGCTGTAGAAACATTAACTGATCATCAAATATTCTGATGCTTGTCTACATTTCTCAGCCCCTTTACACCTAGGCAGGGTTATATGACTTGTTTTGGCCATGACTGTGACTAGAAATGATGCAATTTTTCTTTTCTTTCTTTCTTTTTTTACTGAAGGATAGTAGCAGGCATCAGTTCTTCGTGTATTACTCTTCTCTGTTGTGATAATTCCTTCCTTGGTCCTTGGGTGACTCAAGACAACAGAACTCATCTTCTCCTCCCAAATCTCCTTCCCATTGTGAACAAGTAAGAAGCCACTGGTGTGGGAAACCAGTAGAGCTGAGGAGTTAATTTGTTCTTTCAGCATTACCTAACCCATATGGACTAATAAAAACTCCAAAACTTCAAAATAGGCTTGCGCATTAAGTAATAGAAATAGTAATGACAGATCTTTTGACTGTATATTTGGGGATATATATAAAGAAACTATAGGAAAAGCAAAATATGACCCAGATAACTAGAATAGTCTTACTTTTGCAATTTGACCTCATTTCTTATACTTTTTTCCAAGTCCTTAAACACCCAAGCTATGCAAATGTTCAGAAATATTTTTCTTGCCATTGTAATATCCTAACATTTTTTCATGCATATTAAGATTTTTCTAGATGTTAATTTATTTTGTCTGGTCTCCCCACTTCATGTAGATAGATCCTTCACCTGTCACTAGGAAACCAATAAAAATCACTCTCCAGGTATCCAAACCTAGATCACAGCATAGTCAACAGGATCAATGTGGTTCTTGAAGTCAGTGGAGAAATGAGTAGCCGACAAGGTCAAGGTACAAGGTCAAGCAGTATGGAAGATGCTTCTGAGCAGGCCACATTTGCACCCTTGTCATTGGCAACTTATGCACAAAGGGATACATGGAGAATTCCTGGCAAACAAACACATAGGCAAATGCAGTGTGAGTAGTTGAAGCACAGATTGAGTAGAATGTGAAGAATATCAGCACAATGTCAATCAGGGTGAATGCAGAAAAACCCATCACAGAAGCTTCTACTTGCTGGTATCAGGCAAAATCTTTGAGCAAAGTCATCCTGGGTCCCAAGAAACAGACCAAAAGATGAACTCAACACAGAGTGCACATGTACATTATTCAGTGAGGGGCAGTTGTCCTTACATGGGAATTTTAAATAAAACAGAAAGAAAAATATTATCATAAGTGATACGTCAATTAATATAAAGGGAAAGGATATATCTTTATTGACACTTTGGGAAAAAGTAAATCTTTTAATATGTCCAGCATATCTGCCCTAATTATCTATAAAAGTGACTTTTTAAAAGTAGAATGTTTTGCACACTAATAAGTGAAGGTGAATTTTAAACTTACTTGAAAAATTTTCACAATATAAGATTACATTCTGGTAGCTAGTAGCTTCTGTGGTTTCTCTGCCAATTTCTATTGTTTCCATTACAAGATCAGGCAGGAGCACTATGAGATTATGTCTCAGCTTCATACTTGGAGGATGACTTTCTTCTATAAAGATTTCTCAAGTAGAAAATCTGAATTTTTAAATTATTATATATATTATGACTTTCTATCTCAGGTTAGAAAATACGGATAAAATTTAGCTGAGTCATCACTGATGTCATCCAATAGATAGTGAAGAGTAACTGAAAGGGTATTGGTTGAATAAAGGTCTTCAAATACACTTAAAAATCATATACTTCTGAAACATCTAAGTCAGTTACCAGTGGAATGGAGGGAAGAAGAGAAATAAAACTGAAATATCAACATTAAAATATCAAAAGAAAGCTAAGCATATAACCCTTTTTTTTTGGTACCGGAGATCGAACTTGGGTCCTTTTGCTTGCGGGGTTAGGCGGCGGAACCACTGAGATAAATCCCTGGCCCAAGTATATAACACTTTTAAAAGAGGCCAAGATCAAAAGGAAATAATTAGTATTACATTGGGAATTAGATGGAGAAAATATTTTCCTTTAAAAAATTCACATTTGGTGCAATTTTGCAAGTCATGTCCATGATTAGCTGTTCCTCCAAAGATGCTACTTTAATTGTGCTGATGTGATCAAAACTCGGCATAAACCTCAGATCTGTTTGATGTCCTACATCATTTGTGTATGAAATTCATAGCTTGGTAAAATATTTTAAATATATTTGCATATCTGTGTGCAGATGTCATCCATTCATTTATCCACTTGTTTTTATATTCAGTAAATATTTATTGAACTCCTATGATGTTACAGAACTATGTCTCAGTGCTAGGAAACAGCAGTAGAGAACAAAGCATGTTCTTTGCCATTGGGGAGAGAGAGATAGTAACTAAATAAGTAAGTAAATATAATACTATGTTAAAGTTGGAAGCACTCTGATGAGTTTAAAATCTCTGTGAAATATACGATAGAAAGTTTGTTTGAAAATGTGATGTAAGGTTTTTAAAAATAAATATGGAAACTTTAGACAAACACAATGAGGAACGTCAAGTTAAAAAAAAAAGGAAAAGAAATTGACCCATAACTCATTATTAACTTAATAACTGAGGGAGAGGGAGGTGCTGTAGTTAGTATCTTGCTTTTCAGGAATTTTTTGACTTAAATAGTCTTAAATATGTTATTAGTAGCTGCAAATATTATAGTATATATCAAAAAGTTAATACTTTTGCTATTTTGACAATTTTATGTTCATAAATGAAATTTATATACATAAATCTTTATCTTCATATCTTAATACATCCCCAACATAAAGTGGTGGAATATAATTATTGGGTCTAAATGTCATGCAGATTTCATAATACTTGATGTGTATGCTGTGAAATACATTTGTAGAAGGTTATACTGTCTCACTGTTTTCTCAACAATGTGAGATATTGTGCAGATTCAAAACTTGAGTGAAAACCACACCTCAGTGCTATTTTAATGTTTTTCTTCTTTTAAAAACATTTCCTGGTGAGGTTAATTCTTTAAATGTGTTGATTGCATCTTTTCCTTCTGTGATTTCTTTATTATTTGCCCCTCCTCTCTCTTTTTTTTTTCTGCAAGGTTGTCTCTTTTTTTTTGTTTTTGACTTATGAGACATTTTATGTGTGAAGCATATATTTGATGTAATTTTTCTCCAAGTGGTAATTTATATTTACACACTTTGACTTTGGAAACCTTTTAATGCTCTTATACTTATTGATCTTTTTTCTTTGTGATTTCTTCCATTCCTCTTATGTTTAGAAAACCTTTCATATCCTAAAATCAGTAAATGTTTATATATTTTTAGTTATTTTTGCTTTTTATCGAGATATTTTATCTATGTTTAATTTATTTTGGTGAGATGATGTTTTAATTTGAGCCTTGTCAAATAGTACATTTTCTTGACACCATTTGTTAATAAAATAATCCATTCTTTTTTTCTGTAGGTCCATGATACTTTCTTATCTATCGAATGTACACACAAACACACATACACATACACCGGACTATTTCAGAGCTTGCCTTAATTCTTTTAAAAGAGTCTGTTTTTAACTTTGGGTGGAGAGGGATGGTTCCTGCACTTTTTTTCCCAGATGTTAACTGATTACAATAATTCTTGGTACTGTCTTGGCAGAATGAAGGCGTGCAACTGTGCGGAGGCATTTAGGACCCAGGGGAAAGCCAGGCTCGGTATAGAAGGACAGAGTCTCGGCGCACACGCCTCCCACCAAAATCACAGCCCCGTGGAGCCACCGGGGCTCATTCACAGCTTTCTAGAGAAATCTGAGCTCGAACCTGCCAGAATAGGAGATCTCACTCACCCCGTTCAGCCGGGAGGACACCTGCAGAAACACATTCCCAAAGCAAGCCTGGGCGGCTGTGTGAAGGTATTTGTTGCCTTTTTCTCCCTTCTGTATTTGCAGCACCTCCCCGCCTCCCCGAGCCCCCCCCCCCCGCCATGGCTGCAGCGTTTCAGCACTTGGTGCGTGGACAGCTCCCATCTGCAATCCCTCCCTTCCCTTCCCGCACCCCACTCGCCACCGCCTCCGCGGTCCATCTTCCACGAGGCTCCCGCTCAGCCTGCGCTCGCTTTACACCAGCAGCACCCCATCTCTCCCATCCGCGTCATCATCTCCACCATCACCGGCGCGGTAACTAGTCCACACAACTGTGTCTTGTCACTTGGACAAAGCCCGAGGTCCGCAGGGTAGAGGACAAAAGCTCAAGTTTACAGGCATAGGAAGAAAAGTTCAGGTGAATGACACCCCTGAAAACAAAGAGAGGAGCCTGCTCCAGAGAAAGGCAAAGTGAAAGCAGGAGGGAGAGACCCCGGCCACAGAGACAGATGGGGACTTGCCAGACACCAGCAGTTAGCCAGCTGCCTTTCAGCAGATTAGGAACTGTTTAGTGCAGGAAATTAACATGGCCTGAGGCATAATGTCATTCTAGAAAGACAGAAATGTAACCTCAACTCATGTTTCTGGTTCTCCAACGGAGGATCACCAGAAGCAGGGCGGGGGTGACTGATGACTCACATTCACCTAGACGCTTTTCCCTTCCTAAACATTTACTGTAGAAACTCTAGAATTAAGTTTTTCACGGAAATGTTTTGTAAAATAGGACCCCAAAGATCACCTCTCTGGCCGGAATGAAAATTAAAACGATAGAAACGACAAGCAAACAAATAGATAGCTCTCACTGGAAAATTGTTTGTTCAAATGTCTCTTCCTGTCTACTTATTTCATTCCAGTTTTCCAATCTTAAACCTCTCTTGGAAGCAGAACAGATAGATCTCTTGCCCAAATGGCCAAAGTAGTAATGATATTCAGAACAGATGGCCTGGCTTTGTTCATCACTAGTCAAGGACTGGCTCAGATTTGGAAGGCAAGGTTTTTTCATGCTTTCTCAGTAATCAGGCGATAAAACCATTTTCCTATAATAATAAAGGGTAATAGAGTGCAAAAATTGAAAAGGCATTTTATGTAACTGTGGTTTGCCAGAATCTGCTTTTAGAGTGCTATCATTTTCGATCTTAGCTGAAGAGAAGTTAGAACATCTTTCAAATATCTGATTAATTTGGACTTGATGATCTAAACATAAGTCATGGCACCTATTTGTTTTAGCCACAGTTATTTGTTTTATAAGAGCTAATGAACATCAGAAAATAAGTGAAGACCTGGTCATAAATAAAAATCTTCTGGTGAGTGTTCATTGTATTAATTTTTACTGTACAGTAAAGTATTATGGGTTTAAGTTGTCTTTCATAAAATCAGTACATTAATTAAAATGATATGTATTTAAATGAAAATAGTGTCAGGTCACATGTAACAAGAAAGTTTAAACAAGAACAGAGAAAAGCTTCATTTAAACATTACCTTTGCACATTTATTCTCCCTCTTTTAAAAGAGACAGTGAAGCAAGTTTTGTCTAAAACAACTTGCTCATTATTAGAGGCATTGCCACAAATAAAGAGGATCACAAACCAGTATCTTCTGGAGGAATTTTGAGGGAGAATTCTTACCTAATACTCTACGAATGAGGAAATCATGTCAAAAGTTTCCCTACTGCTACTAATTTTATAAACATAAGCATAATTCCACCTGCCTCTAAAACGTGCTCATTTTAAAATTCAAACCAAGAAAACTAGTGAAAATATTGGTTGAAATTGATTTTAGAGAAGAAGCAAGTTTGGTTATTCATATACCATCTTTAGACTAGTAATATACATGGTACCAAAGATCTCTCAAGTCCCTGAGTAAGGAGATTCTTAGAACTACCTTATCTGTTTGCAAAGAATGGTTCAGGTCAGTTGATTTTAAAATTGTACATATTACCAATTCTTACTATCTCATATCAGAAACTCAGGCCAGGAATCCAGTGCCTCCAGTGCTGCTCTATTCCTGTGCTTAATACAATTTTCTGAGGCTGGGGAAATTTCAAAATAATGCTGCTTCAGTGAGATTTACAGGCATCTGTCTCAGAAGCAATGCATTTCCTTGACTGAAATGCTGAGCTTATTAATTTTTATAGAGTGCTACTATCCTGGATTCTTCACTTATTTTTTAAGAGACATTTTATTTTTCATATTTCCAATAACACAGCTTTCTTATTTTTTTAATAAGAGAATAACAATAGTTACACTGTGTACTGTTCTCTTTAAAGTAGTTACTCAGAGTACAAGACATAAACCAAAATGATTCTTACAAAAAAGAAACAGATAACACAAATCTATTTTTTTCAACAAACTAAGATAAACCTGTAGTATAATGAAACCGATTAGCATATATATTGAAGTTTTTAAAACAGTGGAGTTTGTGATTTGGGGAAATATGTATTTGAACATCTCCCTGCTTCAGATTTTTCTCTTTATTTGAAACACTGTGATATTTGAGCTTGTATGTCTGACTTATTTCACTTAATATTATATTCTCAAGTTGTATCCATTTACCTATGAATCCCTCAAGTTTCTCTTTTGTTATGGGAGTGTAGTAGTCCACTGTATATAAATACTACATTTTTCTTATCTACTCATCTGTTAATGACATATACACTGTTTCCAAGATCTAGCTATTTAAAAAGATGCTGCTTGGTAGAAACATGGGTATACATGTATCCTTGTAATATGATGATTTTAAATCTTTTGGGACAATACCTAGAAGGGGGATAACTGGGTCAATGGAATTTCTAGTTTTAGTTTTTTGCGGAATCTCCACACTGACTTCCATAGTGGTTGTAACTAGTTTACCTTCTGACTAACAATGTAGTAGAGTTTCTTTTTCCCCACATTCTCACCAACATTTGATATTACTAGATTTTTTTTGATGATAGCCATTCTTTCTAGGGTAAGAAGGTATCTCAGTGCAGTTTTAATTTGCATTTCTGTGATGGCCAGCAGCCATGAGCATTTTTTCATGTATTTATTGGCCATTTGTACTTCTTCTGAGAGGTGTCTATTCATTTCAGTTGCCCATTTTTTGACTGGGTGTCTAAGTTTTTTATATAATCTTGATGTTAGTCCTCTGTCCGCGGAATAGCTGGTGACATTTTTTTTCCCTGTTCTGTAGATCGTGTTTTCACTCTGTTGGCTGTTTTAAAAGTGGATTTAAAAGTGGATTTAAAATAACCAGAAAATATTTTTCAGTAAAGTTTCATCATACACTTTTATACTTTTGTAAGCATGCTCATGGAAATATCCAAATTTTCAGAATCAGTACAAAACAGGCAGGCCCTTCATTTCCCAAAAGATGAAATCTTGAACTCACAGAACAGGTGGTATCTGATCACTTCTGCAGCCTTTACAAAAGAGACGTACATGCTATTATATCTGAGAAGTCTGTTCTTAAGTTTACAGATCCCTCGTTGCAGAGCCATCCTTAGTAAATGGATTCAGGCTGACTTAAATCTTGTCTGGTGTTCTTGTTACACAGGGACTTGAACAGAAGAAGTAACACACCAGAGTGTGTGTTTTAAATATGGAGCTTTACTACAAGCATTTAATCCAGAAAAAGTCTCAACATTCCCCAAAGAGATTTTCTTTTCTTGTACATCCTGCTCTCAAAAATCCATTGTCTTACTCATTGTCCATTTTACCCAGATAGCCTGAAGTGTTACATCTCTCTATAGAAAAATGTGCTTAATTTCTAATCTAAGCTGTTTCTTTTTTTCTTTTTTTCCGGTACTGAGGATCAAACTCAGGACCTTGCACTTGTGAGGCAGACCTGGCCTCTGAGCTAAATCCTCAGCCTTCTAAGCTTTTCCTTTAGCTTAAAGGAAGGCTATGTTCTTTTGCTTGATTCTTCATGGATGTGGAAATCAACCAGTCAAACAACCTCTGTCCTATAAAAAAAAACACCCTTCTTTATTCAGATAAAAAGTTCATTATTGTTTTCCACTTCTGGTGCTTCTCATGCCCTTTTGTTCTATCTCCTCTGGTCTGGTGGTCTTATGATCTTTCCCTTTACACACTGACCCTGTGACAGAGAATAACAGAGAAAGTGTCCTGTGCAGAGAATTTCTTGTGAGCTTTTCTTCTTGATTTCTGAGCCTGCAACATTTCACCATATGTATTTGAGATGATCAGGGCTGTGTCCTGAACCCTTTCAGATAAATCTTCAATTCTCAGATATTGTACAGGTTACCTTTCCCCATCTCTGCTCCTTCAAATTCCATCACCTCAGTTCAGTTTCTATTATTGCTCAGATGTCTTATGTAAAGTTCCATACCTTTATGTGTGTCTTGCACACAACCTATTCAATGTTATTTGGTAGTTTTGGAGGAAGGAAGTGGAAAGTTTTGGATCTGGAAATAGCAGTTGAGAGGCTCAAAGGCTCTATAAATAAAAATAGTCTTGATGTGTGGTCGAAATCAAATCAAATAAATAAAATGTGATATTTTTCTCATTCCTTTTTTTTCTCTCCTCCCTTTCTTTACACACGAATTCATTTTCCTTTTGCACTCTTATTTCTCCCTCCCACCCTCCCTTCCTCTTTTCTTGCCTTCCTTTTTTCTTTTTGGCTGATATATAGATATGTACACTTGTGAGAATAATTAATGCGGTGATACAGTAAGCCATGTTGAGTGTCATTGCTCTACAGGGAATGAACACAGGAGGTGTTTTACGTCCTGTTGGAAAATGTAGTGCTGGTAACAATGCCAGTGCAAGCTCTGACTTGGGGTAATTAATCTACCTTTCCAAGCCTCTAGGGTCATTACTAATCCTCCAGATCAACATTTTTCAAACATTAATATGCACATAGCTTGCTTAGGGATTTTGTTACTCATTCAGTAGTTCTAGGTAGGGCTAATATTCTATACTTCTAACAAGTTCCTAGATCCTGCTGGTGGTACTCACCAAGACAAACTTTAAAGAATGTTTTAATTGACACAT